TACTCTCATTCTCTGCTACACCGTTCAGGTTACTTTTCTTTTCGTCTCTTCTAAACTTCTCTTTCTTCACGCTTTCTCGATTTGGGATCTTGCACTTATGGGTCGATTTGCTTTGTTTTTTCCTCCACTGGGTCGATCTCTGTTTCCCCGAAGGGGTTTTGATTGGCTAATGTTAATACTGTTATGGTTCTTTAGTTGCTGCAGAAACTCTTTACCCTTTCAGATCTACTCCATATCGAACACAAACGGCCTTTCTCTAGAGATAGCTTGTGAAAAAATATTAACTTCTGGGGTATTTTCGGTTTCTAATTAAACTCTGACGTTGTGCTTGCTTAGATATGGTTTGCTGATTAGAGGGTTTCTGTTAATTTTGAAGTTGTACATGNTTCGGTCTTAACTTCTACCTCGACCAAACTTTCTTCTTCTAGCGCTTCTTCCAGCAGCTCTTCTCCTTCTGCTCACATCCACACGGATGATCATTACGACAGGACAATAACCGAACGTATAAATCAGACAAGACAGGAAAATAGGGTAAGCTTATGTAATTTAATTCATGTATCAGCATATATTTCACACAATCAACTAAACGAGATAGTTCATTCACTTTTACATGCAAAGCCTAATACTAGACTCTGACTGTCCGGACTATATGAATTCTGTGTAGTTACGACGTTCGTGCACCCGGGTGATGTAGTAACTGGGATACCCTCAACAGCTGCCACCCGAGGTTAGTCCTATATGTCCAAATTAACCATAAGGACTAGGACCTCATGTCATTCCCACACATGACTTACCCTTCTCTACGTGAGAACGAGTAATCACGGAATATCAGGATGAACCGCCAGCTTAGCGTTTCCACATTCATACTTTACCAATTCCAATGTCCATTCATGAGATATTCCTCCCCGGAATACTCTTTCATATTCATACTCATTTCATCTACATCATATTCTATCATCTTTCATTATTAAACCTCAACTGAACCAATTTGAACAAAGATCCCTTAGGATACCAAATACCAAACGTAAATCTTCAACCCCGAACGAGACCGAACACTTGGAGTGAGATCGAGAGGTCTCCAGTTCCAAAACAGATCAAAACCGAGAGAGTTACTAACGGGGTTGGGAAGAGACCAATTACAATAATATTTCACAAAGACTAATATAATCGAACGTTATTTACAAGGTGAGCCAATTTAATAAACTGACTCATGAGAGTTTAGATCGAACGCCAATAAGTCTAGGCCGAGTACTAAGACTCTAGGCCGAACACCATAGAAACTGATAGTGTAGGACATCGAATAATACTGAGTGACAAAATTATATGAAGAAACCGAACGCTATAAATACTTAGCTTATTTATGAGTTTAACATCAAGGAGAACGAGTGCTAGTCGAAGACCGAGCACTGTAGAGACCGAACGCTATTGGTTTTGGCCGAATGCTCTTATTTAAAAATTAAATTAAAAAATCAAGGTCGAGCGCTTGGTCTAAGACCGAGCACCACTTAGTACGAGTACTTGGTGTAAGACCGAGCACTACTTAGTACGAGTACTTGGTGTAAGACCGAACACTACTTAGTACAAGTACTTGGTGTAAGACCGAGCACTACTTAGTACGAGCGTTTAGTGTAAGACCTAGCACTACTTAAGTTATAGAATAAAGGCTTGATAAATATACGATATCATTTAACTAATGTTCAAGAACGAACGAAATATACAAATACATATAGATATACTTAAATTTTATAACAGAATACCAAGGAACAAATATCCTTGGTTGAACGCTTTTATACAAATATTACTAACCGAAGAAGCTCGGTCCTCAACTGGAATTCCATCCAAATGAACGAATCCAGTTCCAACCGAGTCCACAAGAAAACCGAACGGTCAAAGACCATTCAGTAACGAACATAAATTTTCATATGGAATTTCATACGTAGAATTCTTTATATCACTTCATTTCTCAACATCTATCTCCATAAATTCATACATCCATATCATAGTAAATCTTCATACTTCATACAGTCAAAACATAGCAACAATCATATTCATTCAGCAATTCAACGAACATGCATCCATTCAAAACGAACATAAAAATCAAATTATATAAGCTTCCCTTACTTCTTAACGTGACCGAACGCTCACAGATATGGTTACTGGTTCACCTCTACAAATCCTTCTACCCTCAACGCTTGACAACTTCCGAAACTAAACCAAACAAAAAATCCAGAAACTCTCAGAACAAGATGATTGATTCATGCAACCCATAAACTAGGTTTGCATGTACCAGGAAACCACACAGCTGAGGGAGAGATGAATTTACCAGCTCGGAATTGAAAACTGATCGGTTCAAACGAACGCCCTCGACGCCGGGAATGCTCAGGTGTGGTCTGTTTAATGATCGGAGGAATAAAAGAGTAAGATTTCGTAGAGAGAAGATGAAGAAATCTTAGAGAGAAGGAGGGGAAAATGGTTTCAGAGATTTGGAGAAGAAGGTAAGCATGCAGAGAAGTGGCACAACATTTGAAAATTTGGCATTAACTACTGTCGTCACCAAAAACGAACGTCCACTCTCCTTCAGCACCTGTTTCCACTTTCTGACTTCGAGCTCCTCTTCCTTGACACATGTAATCCACTGAGATAGAGTTTTGAGTGAATTTTAATGGGTCTGACAGTATGACTTTACAATTTTTTTATTTTCTTAAAAGGCTTTAAATTTACAAACGAATTAATTATAAAACTAACAAAATAGTTTGTAAAATTATAAATTAGGGTTAAATATATTTATACTTTTTTTATTTTTTAGACGTAAAATTAAAATCTGTTATTGTTTTAAATTTTAATATTTTTTATTTTTTAAATTTAAAATAAATGAATATAATCTTATAATCCAACAATATTAAATTACTTTTATGTACTACGATATCCTAATCTTTTTTATGTGTGAAACGATATCTGACATTTAAGTTAGGAATAATAGTTTGCAACATTTGGTTTGATAAAAAAGAGTTATTGTAGTTGATTAAAAAAATATAATCAATTTAATCTTTGAAATTATAAATAATTAGTCTAAATGATCTTTAACTAAAAAATCTAATTACACCTTTCATCCTTCGCGTACATATTAACTATAATTAATTATAACCAGATTGATTAAGAATTATGACATCTTGGTAATTTTAGAAAAGTTTGAATATATCTTTTGTCTCAATTTTTATCAAAATATTTCAACTATGTTTTTTTTGTTTAGATCTCCATTTTAGAAAAAGTGATATAATTTGGTGATTTCCATCAATTTATACCAGCAAGCAACGTAAAATATATGAATATATGTCATGTGTTACTTTGTGAGTTTTTTTTTTATATAAATTTTTAATTATTGTATTATTATATATTTCTTTTACAATTGTTTATGCCTCAAGTCATTCTCATATCACATGATACTAGTACTGTGATGTAATAATGACCGTGTCATATATAATTGTTTCATATTTAATTTCATTTTTTTTATTTTGATATAATTTAGTTTCATCTTTTTAGAATGAAACAATTTTGTTTTTCTTAAATTAAGATTAAATTAAATTTTTATATAAATGTTAAGATTTATAATAACAAAAATATACATAAATATAATAATGACATTTTAATAATATAGTTATAGTTGATTTAAAACTAATTCTAAAAATATTTAATAAAAATATGAATTTTAAAAAATATCATTATAATTATGGATGACAACAACTTGGGTTGGATGAAATATCCGCAGGTATTTTTAAACCCACGAATATTTAAAAAATATGTTTTATAATTTCTTAAAACAAAACTAAAACAAAATATACAATATAATATAAATTAAAATTTAATTTTAATTAAATTTAACCTGATGAAATATAAATTAATTTTAATTTTAATTAAATTTAACTTAATAAAATATAAATGATTTTTTTTTTATTTTTTACGGATAATTGATACATGCGGACACAAATACTATGATATCCACACTCGATTCGTTTATAAACAAGTATTAAATTACTCGCTATACGTGACCGACAAATACCAATTATTTATCACAAATTTTTTTCACGGATACTCGCATGTAGGAGTATTTTTATCATCTAAATATAACATTTATATCAAAAAATAAATATGTTTTCAATTTGAAAAGAGAAAAAATTATTCTATTTTAACAAAAAAAAATTATGACTGAATTTAACTAAAATAATAAATATAAATACTAAATTAAATGAGAGAATGATACTGACAAAAACACAACTGAATTAAAACTTACATGCGAACATAATTTTTTATACTAAAATATAAATTAAAGTGAAAAATAAAAGGTCTTAAATTGATCTTTAATATAGTCAGTTCAATTATAAAAAAAACAAAATTATATCAGTTTTTCAAAAAACTAAAACATAATTAAGATAAAAAAATTTGAGAAACCAATTTGAAATATTTTTATAAAAAATGAAACCAAAAATCTTTGTGAAATGAGTTTTAGGTAGGCGTGTAATGTTAAGATGAATAATAAGAAAATAAATACTAATTAGAAATGTTTCCTCTTAAATGAAAGTATACGAATATAAAAGAGATTCACTCTTAGAAAAATATTGTTTGGAATGCAAATATAACTCTAAATTTCATTTAACATACACGGTTTATGAAAAAAATAAGATTTATTGAAAAAACATAACACCAATAAAATATAAATAAAAACAAAGAAAATTAAATCTCCTCTCAATTCCTTGGCACTTTTACTACATGGAGAGAAAACAAAATACTAAAAACATATTGTTTGAATACATTTTTAATGATTGAACTAAAAAACATGGAAAGAAAAAATATAGACTATACATCTCAGTTAATTACTCTCTCATAATTTATAATAAATTTTAAACAATAAAAAATAAATTTAAGAAATAGTGTAAAAGAATATATATTGATGAGCCAATATGCAATATGTTTCTCTTACTCAGGGCATTTCCGTCATTAAATTGCACCACCCACCCAATTTTCCTATAAATGTCAACTTAGTGCTTACATTCCACCCACCCTCGTTCATACTCTCATTCTCTGCTACACCGTTCAGGTTACTTTTCTTTTCGTCTCTTCTAAACTTCTCTTTCTTCACGCTTTCTCGATTTGGGATCTTGCACTTATGGGTCGATTTGCTTTGTTTTTTCCTCCACTGGGTCGATCTCTGTTTCCCCGAAGGGGTTTTGATTGGCTAATGTTAATACTGTTATGGTTCTTTAGTTGCTGCAGAAACTCTTTACCCTTTCAGATCTACTCCATATCGAACACAAACGGCCTTTCTCTAGAGATAGCTTGTGAAAAAATATTAACTTCTGGGGTATTTTCGGTTTCTAATTAAACTCTGACGTTGTGCTTGCTTAGATATGGTTTGCTGATTAGAGGGTTTCTGTTAATTTTGAAGTTGTACATGCTTGTAAGCATTATGTTTTTTCTTTATACTTGTTTAATTTAAAACATTAGTACTTAATTCTGCTTGCAACACTATCTGCTGCTAAATACAGTGAGATTTGGTTTGTCGTGTGCTTCTACTAGATCCACTTCCCTTTGGTTAATTGCTTGTTTGTATGGTTACAGAACAGTATTTTTGTCTCAAAAGCTTTCCCCTTGCTGAATATTATGCTACTGTTATGTTCCCTTTCGTGGATTTGCATTTAGGTTCTGATTGTAGGGTTGTCGTGCAGTTTAGAAAGTTCAAAGATGGCAGAGACATTTCTGTTTACCTCCGAGTCCGTGAACGAGGGACACCCAGACAAGCTCTGCGACCAAATCTCCGATGCTGTTCTTGACGCCTGCCTTGAGCAAGATCCAGAGAGCAAGGTTGCTTGTGAGACATGCACCAAAACCAACTTGGTCATGGTCTTCGGAGAAATCACCACCAAGGCCAACGTTGACTACGAGAAGATCGTGCGTGACACCTGCAGGAACATCGGCTTCATCTCAGACGATGTGGGACTTGATGCCGACAACTGCAAGGTCCTTGTGAACATTGAGCAGCAGAGTCCTGATATTGCCCAGGGCGTGCATGGCCACCTCACCAAAAGACCTGAAGAAATCGGTGCCGGCGACCAGGGTCACATGTTCGGCTATGCCACCGACGAGACCCCTGAATTGATGCCCTTGAGCCACGTCCTCGCAACCAAACTCGGGGCTCGTCTCACTGAGGTTCGGAAGAACGGTACCTGCCCTTGGCTCAGACCTGATGGCAAGACCCAAGTGACTGTTGAGTATTACAATGACAAGGGTGCCATGGTTCCAGTTCGTGTCCACACCGTGCTCATCTCTACACAACATGATGAGACTGTCACCAACGATGAAATTGCTGCTGATCTGAAAGAGCACGTGATCAAGCCCGTGATTCCCGAGAAGTACCTTGATGAGAAGACCATTTTCCACTTGAACCCCTCTGGCCGTTTTGTGATCGGTGGTCCTCACGGTGACGCCGGTCTGACCGGGAGGAAGATCATCATCGATACCTACGGAGGATGGGGTGCTCATGGCGGTGGTGCCTTCTCTGGGAAGGACCCCACGAAGGTTGATAGGAGTGGTGCTTACATTGTGAGGCAGGCTGCTAAGAGCATTGTGGCGAGTGGACTTGCGAGAAGATGCATTGTGCAAGTGTCTTATGCAATTGGTGTGCCTGAGCCTTTGTCTGTTTTCGTTGATACCTACGGAACTGGGAAGATCCCTGACAAGGAGATCCTGGAGATTGTGAAGGAGAACTTTGACTTCAGGCCTGGTATGATTTCCATCAACCTTGATCTGAAGAGGGGTGGGAATAGCCGGTTCTTGAAGACTGCTGCATATGGTCACTTTGGCAGAGAGGACGCTGATTTCACATGGGAAGTGGTTAAGCCCCTCAAGTGGGAAAAGGCCTAAGCAATTCATTCCACTGCACTGCTTTGTGCTGGGTGTTTTTCAGGGTTGCCCTTGTAGTTTCTAGTATTCGTAAACTATTCGTGTCTACTGTTCTGTGTTTCTCTTTCCCTCCTTTTGTTTCTTCTATGTCTTCATTTGTATTTTTTTCTTTACATTATCAGTTAAGGAACGTTCATTTGTATTTTTGTCTTCATTTGTATTTTTTTTTCTAGTATCAGGTTTCTTCATTTGTACCTCTTTTGTGCCCCTAGCCATTGTATCTCTTCATATGCTAACATTGAAAAGAGCATTCGAGTGAGTGAATTTATGGATTGTAATGCTTCTCTCTGAGTGAGTGGAATCAAATGCATGGCTTTCCTAATTCTAAAATATTCGAGTTGCAAATTTGCATAGGAGAGACTGTAGGCAAAAACTAATGTTGGTGTTAAGAAATAAGTTTGAAAAATCTGTATATCTGGCAGAAGCATGATAATATGAACCTTCAGATATAACACCTACAGGGACATGATTCCTTTGATGGCTATTAACCGAACAGAGACCTTGTTGCTGACAGGGACAAATTGATTTTATCAAATTTTCAGGGAGTAATTCGATTTTGTCTCTAAAACTTGTAAAGCTTAAAAATTAGTGGTGATGGATCGTGGTGCTCTGCCCCATTTATAAAGTTGTAGTACATGCTGATGTGGTATGATGGTCTGTAGTTCCATTTTTCACTACATCTACCAATTAAATTGAAGATCTCTAAAGCGAATTTTAATTTAAAAGATGGTAAAAGCTAGAGATTCATGATAGGTTTTGGTGTTAATCAAAGTTACACTATAGTACTACATTTCTATGTTGCCTGTTGGAAGCTGCAAATAAGGACAACTACTAAACTGGTATTATTCGCATCTCTCTGTTATTATTCTATTTTTTTTTTATAAGATTGATCACTTGGACTATTCCACATCTACTTTTTGTATCCTTTAGGTTTTTGTATCATTACAACTACCATAATATATATTTGTTATATTTATATTGACTATAATTATAACCTGTCGTATATTCAGGGACAAATTTTGCTTTTCTATGTATATTTTGGCTTCTCTGTGCATTTTAAGTTGGAAAAATACTTTAAATAATGTCGGTTCACGCCTAAAAATAATGAGTGAGCTATTCGGCAAGAAAAAAAAAGACTGAACTCGTTTATACTAACATATTTGGATGAGATTGGTTTGCTAATTTTGTGATATGATCCAATTCAACTCTGGTTGATCACTGAGATACTAAGTCGTCTATTAAAAAATTTTAAAAACATGTCAAATTAAAAGAATAAATAATTTTTTGAAAAGGATTAAAACTGTAAATTATTAAAAATGAAAACAAAACAAATATTTGCTCCCAAAAGTTGGATTTAGAAAAGAAAAAAAAGGTAAATAGAGATAATTAAATATAGTTATATCCTACGCTTCAATTTATGTTGAGGTAATTATGAATTTCATACATAAATAGTTTAGGTTCATCAACTTTTAAACCCATCTGACACGTTAACTTTGTATAACTCAATGTTTTTAAGATTGTAATTTGGAGTATTGCAATACAATTTTATTACACTGCATTTCATTACATTCTAGAATCCTTGCTAAACACATAAGAATGTGATATAATTTTTTAAGTATGGGAATAAATATCTTATTTTTATAGTTTATGTTGGACTGAGTTGACATATTAATGTTTACCAAGTAATTGACTTATTTCTCTGGTTGTGGTGAAGGATAGTGAATGAAATCTAAATAAAGGTGTTTACAAGGTGAATTCAAACTCATTATTTATCTTTTTGTCTGGTCCTATATTTTGAACAAGTTGACTTTTTACAACTTGGTGTGTTTAAGGTTAAATGAATATCAAGCCAAAAATAATTAAATGAGGTAAGGTGCAATTAAAATTAAAATTAAATTATTTTAATTTTAACACTATAAATTAGGCATTGATACAATTATTAACCACTGGTTTTTTTACTTTCAAAATATAAGCAAATAAATAATTCATTTTCTACTATATATAGTGTCAAAATTGGATCTCCATAACTTTTATTGTCATCCTGTTAAGATAGTATAATTTATTTACTTATAAAAAAAACAAATTATTTTTGTTTGGGAATCACATGAATTTTCACATTCGATGCGTTCTAAAGAAGTCAATTATAAAACATTTATAGCATATTTCTTTATTTCTTATTTTTATGACAAAATATTTTAAAAAATTATGTAAACAATATTTTAATTTTTATGTGAAACTAGAACTACAAGTAGTTGAATTCTATTTGTTTTTTTTTTAATGTTTAGTTTGAGGGATTATTTATTGAAAAACTATAATAAACTCAACTGCAAACAGTTATTCACAGACAATTTATTATAATCTATAAGGTACATATACAACACAAACATGATACACCAATATATTTATTTTAAAAATAATATGATACAATATATATTGAAAATATATAATTTTAAAAAAATATATAATAAATATATGATTGTTATTATATAATTCTAAATTAAAATCACATTCATTAAATATTGTGAAATAAAAATTTATAAATTATTATTATTATAAAAGTATTATTTTATAAATTAAATACTTCATAAATAAACATATGCATAAAATATCACGGATATGTTATCCAAATTAAATAGATTATACTTTTTACTACTTGATGAATTACCAAAATATTTTCCTTTATCTTTGTTGAAAAAAAAAACAAAATATGTTACAAGGAATTAAGATCGTGAAAACACACAAAGAATAAATTAAAAATTTAAATATTTTTGTTGAAGAAAAATGAAAAAATAGAAAAAAAAATGGACGAAGTAAAAATGTATAATAAAAAGGTGATAAATTATTTAAAAAATCCCTAATTTCATGATGACTATAAAGAATATTAAAATATAATAAGTAGGAAATAATTCTTCACAGTGAATACTAGGCGTAATCTCGATTTCTATATTTTTAAAAGTTATTTTTTTCCCTTCTCTTTTTAACCCAACACAGTCATATTTGTCAATTCTCACACATCTGCTACCATAAGTTGAGAGTATAATGGATAAAGTTAGTATAGCCCGAAGGAGAGAAGTATTGGATAAAATAATTTACACTTTTTTTTCAGATTATTTTTTTTAAAAAAACCTGAATAAATTATTTCAAACATTATTTACTCAATTAAATTCATTTACTTTTAAAATATCAAGAATCCAATCTGAGAAATTTTAATATCATACGATTCTCTTATCTCTTTTTATTTTAAAAAATAAAGTCAAAATTAAACTTTCCAAGAATTGAATTCTATCAAATTTTGATGACGTGAGATGAGAAACTATTTCAGGTTCAAAATTCGACCTTTTGAACACTGAATTATCAAAGTAAACATTAAATAAGTATGGTTTGAGAATTAAAGTCCAAATGAAATTACATGAGTAGGTTTTCTTTTATTTTGAGAAAATAGTAATTTACCCACTGTATTTCTCTGTTTTTATTTTTCTCTCCAACAAAATACTTATAAATTTCCCTGTATTTTTCATCCATTCTCAGATTTGTACCAAATATATTTTATGAATTTGTTTTGCATGCTGCAATGAAAAACCTGTGCCATTTATTATAAAAATTATGTGTCAACAACTAGAAAAGTTTCTTGAGCAAGAGACTTCTCTCAGTCACACTCACAAGACATGCATCTTTTCCTTACCAACCACACTCCATTACTCTTGCTGATAAAAGCATTCGTCATTTATCATTTAACATATGCAATTAACATTTTTTAATACAACAACTACATTCTTAAGAGTAGCAACGCAAGCACTGAATTCAGAGTCAAAACCAGACAGACAAAGAAAAAGGTGGCCAAGAACAGGTGCCACTCAACTCTCCAAACATGTCAATATCTCACTTGCCCAACCTCAAAGGTTGTAGTTGGTAAGCAACACGCATGACCTATTTTACCTTCTTCTCTCATTTTTTCAACACATTCAACGGCTCAGCTTCACTCTCACTTCCCATCTCAGCCTTCTATTCAAATGCCACGACATTCACATGCAAATGGATGAATCTAACCCGTAATGTAATCATGTTCCTTAGGGGCTTTTTCGTCATTCAAGTTACGCCACCCACCCCTCTGCCCTATAAATGCCAACTCAATGCCCTCATTTCAACTCGCAGTGCTTGACTTCAAAGTTGAGACCAGTCCCACTTAACCACCCTATCGTTACGATCTGTCTCTCTCTTTCTCTCTCCGTGTCTGCTCTTCTATCTTTCAAGGTACTCTTCTTTTGCTCTGTTCCAACCATCTCTATCTTCTGCATTCTTGCACATAGTACCCTTCATCAATTTGGGATCTTGCCCTTCTGGGTCTGTTTGCTTTGGCTTTTCTTTTACTGGGTCGATCTCTGTTTCCGCAAACTGCTTTAAATGTGCAGTGTACCCTGTTTCTTTACTTTCTGCAGAATACCAGTTAGTCTTTCAGATCTATCTGAAATCGTATGCTAGTGGCTTTTATTTTGAATGGCTTGTAAAAAATATTCACCTTTGGGGGAAGGGGGGATTTTGGTGTTGCATATTCTTGTGGGGGTGTGTATCTGTTGTTTCTCGCATCTATTACTGTTGGCTAATTGTGTACGAGACATTATGTTTGCGCCAACTTTCTCTTATAGCATGGAAAAATATCAAAATGTATAAATTAGAAAAATTTAGAGAAGATCTATCATTCTTTCTTCTTTTTTTGTCTACTCTCTCGGGTTCTAATTGTAGGTTTGTTCTGCAGTTTAAAAAGTTTAGAGATGGCAGAGACATTTCTGTTTACCTCCGAGTCCGTGAACGAGGGACACCCAGACAAGCTCTGCGACCAAATCTCCGATGCTGTTCTTGACGCCTGCCTTGAGCAAGATCCGGAGAGCAAGGTTGCTTGTGAGACATGCACCAAAACCAACTTGGTCATGGTCTTCGGAGAAATCACCACCAAGGCCAACATTGACTACGAGAAGATCGTGCGTGACACCTGCAGGAACATCGGCTTCATCTCAGACGATGTGGGACTTGATGCCGACAACTGCAAGGTCCTTGTGAACATTGAGCAACAGAGTCCTGATATTGCCCAGGGCGTGCATGGCCACCTCACCAAAAGACCTGAAGAAATCGGTGCCGGCGACCAGGGTCACATGTTCGGCTATGCCACCGACGAGACCCCTGAATTGATGCCCCTGAGCCACGTCCTCGCAACCAAACTCGGGGCTCGTCTCACTGAGGTTCGGAAGAACGGTACCTGCCCTTGGCTCAGACCCGATGGCAAGACCCAAGTTACTGTT